CTTATCAAGAATCGCATCGCTTCCATACAAAACATATGCTTATATACTTATCCATCAGAGAGAAGGAAAGAATATGAAAGGAAAGAATGATAAGACCATATATAGGAAGAAAGAGATATAAGGACAAAGTATAAGGACGAAAATATCAGAACAATACGGTCATTATGCCATACAGTGTACTCAAGCGGGAGCGTTACATACACATACAGGTATTCCAGAAAGACATGATGATGAGTAATGAGATATAGAAATAAAGAATTAGCCAAAATTAGAAATACATATTGAGATAATACGTATGAATTAAAAATCTGATTGATTCGGGTAGACAAAGACCATTCTGCAATCTTGTCACATCTCTACGTTTAATTAGCGTACTGCATACAACAATCAGTGTGTCGATGAGGGCAAGGGTGTGATTAAACTTCAAAAGTAATCAGACAAATTTATTTTAAAATTTAGTCGTCCTAAACTCTTGCTTTCAGGAAAGAAAATGATCACTAAAAACAACATGTTCGTTTGAGCAAAATACATAGCACTGTATAGCATAAACATCAGTACTATTTTGAGAAAAACTCGGACACTATAAAGAAAATTGATTTTTCTCGTCGATGCTTGTCAATAGTTCTTAGATTACCTAGGTCAGTCATAGTCGGCCGTACACTAACCAATCACGGCGGATAACGGCGACTGTATACTTTGTTCGAAAAACACCGTTAGACATCGTATACGTCAGGTGTTCGCGGTAGCCGTTTACAACAGTCGTAAATAACACTTTACGGCATATTACGACCATTGTAAACAACGACCGTAAAATGTCGCCGTCAACGACTAGCGTAGCAACACAGCGGCTGTATACGTCGAGGAAATAAGATGTCCTAAGACACCGTGTACGTGAGTTATATACGGTAGCCGCTCACAGCGATCGTACACAATGCTATACGGTAGCTGCTCACAGCGATTGTAAATCATGCTTAACGGCCATCGTAAACAATGACCAAAACAAGTCGCCGTGAACGACTTCCGTAACAATACGGCGACTGTATACACTCGTGAGATAATATCGCAAGGTACCGTCTCGGTGTACTGGAACTGGTCTGATACAGGATCATTATTTTTTATCGTATTTCGTCGTAAAAAGTCGTTAACGTTGGCGAACCCCTCTTATTCAATATAAATAATATGCTCTCAGGATCAGCTAAACAGATCCCTAGGCAACAAGAGTTCCATTTCCACAGAGTTGAGAAAGAGTCGCGAGTTCTGCCTTCTGCCATGAACAATATTTTTATAAAACCCAATATTTTTAGAAGTACCTTATTTGTGCGATTTCGGTGGATATCCCTTGGGGTCTGGATAAAATGTACGAACAGCAGAGACAATATCAGCACCTAGCAACCATACAGCTACATATTCCCATAGTTTATCCATGTACAAAAACGGCTAAAAAGCATACTAAAATTGACTATTTTTGGATTAAAAATCGATTGAAATGTCACTATTTTGATCTAATTTTAATAAGATCTTTCAGTGTTAAAGATAGAGTTCAGTTGATTTTAATCTTCTTAATCGATTATCAAAATTAAATTAATTGCAGTCGATTATTAGAAATCGATTTTAATCTCATCTTTAGCCATTTTTTATATGTGGAAGCTCTTTTTCTTGATTGGCAGCGTCACAATAGAAGGAGAATCTATGCTACTTAATTGGTGACAAAAATTAGGGCATACTATTATAATAGAAAATGGTATCGTAAAGGCATTTATGATAGGGGTGTCGCATTAGAATTTGCATTAGTATTAATCAAAAAGCCTAATGCTTTGTTGTCAGCATTAAATTGGTATTATTATTAACTCTAGTACATCTATTCCGTGTAAGTTATAGACTGCTACTCCTGAGTATTCAGGAGCTATCCAGGGAATACCTAAGAACCATCAAGGTCCATCCAGGGGGATGCTTATAATCCATCAAGGACTATCCAAGAGGGTACTTATGACTCTTAAAGGGCTATCCATGGGGATACTTAGGATGGATCAAGGTCAGTCCAGGGAGAATATTTATAGATCTGCAAAGACTATCTAGGGCAGTGCTTATGACTCTTCAAGGCCTATCTTTGGGGATACTTATAACTCTTCAAGAGGTATCCAGGAAGGGTACTTAGAGGTCTTCAAGGACACTCCAGGATGGCACTTATAACTCTTCCAGGGATATTCAGGAAGTGGGTTCATATTAGCAGTGTAAAGCTCACGCTCACAAGCCACTCATCTGAGTGTTAGCGGTTTTGCTCTGTGTGTTATATCCGCGATAACGAATACGATCAATCCAAGTGGAGATTGGAAGTCGAGATGCACCGTTAACACTAGCTCCATATATAAGCATAAAGTAATGATTTCACATTAAATATTAAGTATTAATGATTATTTAATCATCAATATTAAAATTAATTGCTTTACTTAGAACCTATTTGATAAATAGTAAAACCGCCGACACATTAGAAGACTCCCTCTAATAGTTGATTTTTTAGTTATACTATCATGCTTATACTTTTTCTTTCTACATGTGTATTTCTAATCTTCGTTTCAAAAATATTTTCCTGTTCTTTCTGTCGTTCAAGATAGTCCGTACTTGAATAATGTGAAATGTAATTAACTGGTGTATACATATAACATGTGAAAAACAATGCCTGTTATTATCAAGTTCAATTGTTTTTCATTTACATTCTGCTCTTCTCACTAACACTTCACTATATGATTATCTTCATAACTGAATAAACATAGAACATCTCTTATCGATAATGATCTAAGTTCAAATTCTTATCTGCTGTGATTAAATATCGATCATGATCACATTGATCAAGAATCTGATTCAGAAAGAGATGAACAAATTACAAGTTCAATAACCGAAACTCAATACAAATGGCTGATCTTGAAGGATATGCTGAAAAACTCAAACCTTAATTTTTTCTCTAATTAATCGTATGAAATAAGAGCATTTTATGAGTGAATTATTTTATGAATGAGTTCTTTTGTCCTGTGAAAAATGTTCCTACTATGAAGTATAAATTAATCGCATTTCGTGTGGTTCAGCACATTTTATGATTAAGATACTTGTTTTGTGAAATGTTCTTTAGTAATAGAACGTAGACGGTTTTTCTTAATTGGACCAGCGTAGCAAATTGAAGTAAACGTTTAATAACAACATAATCAGCATAAAATGATTTTTACAAAAATTATATTGTTGAGGGTATCAAAAAATATGACTTTTTTAAGGGACATACTAGAAGACCTCCTTTGCGACTTGTGAACGATAACACAGAATAAAAGACCCGGGATCTTCCAATGTGTCGACGGCTTTAAGTGATTAAGTAATTCACCGGTAGAAGACACTGTTGTATTCTGTTTTTTGCCGGAAAAAAAATTGAATCTCTGCTACCACCGTATTAACGAGAACAACACAATGTTTTGATAATCCTGAAGCAGAGCAACAGTACCTTCAAGTCTGATTTGCTGGTACAAAAATTTCGATCAATCAGATCTCAAAAGAGCTTTTCACCTTTCTTGTCAGGACGGTGCACGCAGTTTTTTGGACAGGTTGGAGTTCATAGGATTTTTCCATCATATGGCCCTAACAGATGCGTACTGTGTCCATAAAATAGCCGAGCTAACACTTCCTGATATCTAATTAAGCCAATGGATACCTTGGGTCAACTGATTTATCTACTCTCGCAGACTCTACCAGAACTTCACAGAAGAAAGGCATTCTCAAAAAAGCTTTTGTACAAGAAAATTATCGAATTCAGTGGCATTTCTTTAATGTTAATCACCTCATTCTCCGATTTCAACCGAAGTGGTAAATAATAAACTTCAAATTAGTACTAATTATCAAGGCATTCGTTAACACAGTCTTTTAACCAACTAACTATTCCCTAATGACGCTTTTTCAAAAATATCAAGAGATAAATGAAGCTATATAGCCTCCTTTCCATTAATTCGCGTTCTAAATCAGGTCTACCGTAAGCACCACTCCTCGCTCACACTAGAGAAGTTATTGGTGCCTTGGATAGCCCTTGAAGACTTATAATTCCCTCCCTGGACAACCCATGAAGATCTATAGGTACTCTTCCCAGGTAGAACTTGGTGAGGCCTAAGTGTGCCCTTGAGTAGCTCTTGATCAGTCATAAAT